GCGTCGTTGCTACGCGAGCGTCGGTTGTACACAAAACACGTTAGCCCATCTTAAAGTGGAACTGTTGGCCGCCGGGGAAGCCGCCAAAGCTTCCCCCGCCAGGGAAGCCTCCACCTCCTCCCTGTTGGAAGAACATTTCGAACGGATGACCGCCTTGGGCAAAGGGGTTTCCGTATCCACCCTGTTGACCGCCCATGGGGTCGTTGGGATCGTCTCCTGCATCGTACCTCTTTCTAAGCTCCTCATCGCCCAATACGCCCCAAGCCTCGTTGATGGCGGCCATCTTTTCCTGGCTGCCGCCCTTGTCCGGATGGTTCTCGCGTGCGAGTTTACGGTAGGCCTTCTTGATCGTCGCCATCGCATCGGTTCGTTTGACGCCAAGCACCTTGTAGTAGTCCTTGCTCTGGCTGAGCTTGAGACGCTTCTGGGCCGTCTGCAGCTTCTGATGGATCGCTCGGTCCGTTCGTCCACTCGCCTCAAAGGCCTTGGTGAGGTCGCGAACCGCGTCTTCGTACTGCTCGTTCTGCAGCGCCACTTCGGCACGCGCGAGAATCGCAGTCGCGTCGTCCGGATCGCGCGCCAGAACCAGCTCGCAGTACTTCATGGCTGTGTCCATCGCATTGAGCTCGGTATGCGCCTTGCAGTACATAACGTACAGCTCGTGCAGCAGCCCCGACTCGGCAACCGGATCCCGCTGGTACGTGGCTGGAATCAGCGCCTCTTCATCGCCTGGCGAAACCTGGGTGGCAGAGACGATGACCTCTTTGATCTCGTCCACCACCGTCGGCCCGCCGACCTTGCCGCCCTTGAGTGCCGAGAGCACGGCGCGGTAGGACTGCGAATTGTGAAAGTTGCGTGCCTTCTTGAGCGACTTTTCCAACGCCTTGACTTTGCGATGCAGGCGCGCGCACGCCTTGTTGTCCGGATCCGAGTGCAGGCACGCCTTGAGATGGTGCAGCCCCGCATCGCGGCTCTGCGATCCTGGCTCGCTCACGACAAAGTACGACAGCACCGCCAGACGGCGCAGCAGGAAGGGCGAGGGCGACAGATGCACCACGCGCGTCCAGTCCGCCATGGCGTCCTCGAGGTTGCCCTTCATGGTCTGGCAGCGCGCGCGCACGAGGCGCGTCTCGAGGTGCGACGGCGACACCTTGAGC